ACTCAGTGCTTTCTGCTTCCTTATCTTCCAAATTGCTGTTTTGATTCTCTGTTTCATCTACTCTACTGCTGATCCCCTGTAATATATTCTTCATTTCACTTAGTGTGATCCCCTGTAAGGTATTCTTCATTTCACTTAGTCATTTCTGACTCTTTTTTATGGTTTCCATGTCCATTTTTATGCTATGAATTCCTTGAGCTTCCTTACAATCATTGTTTTTAATTCTGTATCTAGTAGTTTAGTTTGCTTGCCTCCATTTTATTAAGTTCTTTTTCTAAAGATTTTTCCTAGTCTTTCATTTGGGACCTGTTTCTTTGTCTCATTTTGACTGCTTCCTGGTGTTTGTATTAGGTAGAGCTGCTATGTCTCCCAAACTGATAGAGTGGCCTTCTGCAGTAGGTGTCCTATAGGGCCCAGTGGCACAACCTCTCCAGTCACCTAAGCCAGGTAACTCAAGGTGTGCCCCTGTGTGGGCTGTGTGCAACTCCTATTGTAGTTGAGCCTTGATTGCTGTTGGCACATCACTGGAAGGAACTGATCCCTAGGCCGTCTGGCTGTGTGGACTGGCCGTGACCTCCATGGAGGATCTGCTGTGCAGGAGCCAACCCTACAGAGTAGACTCACTTCAGTGGGACTTTGGTGCCCTCTGAGTCCACCCCTTAAGCATGTCACTCATGGAGGTGGTTGGATTGTAATTTGACATAATCTAAAGCTGTCCATTGGGTGCACTGACTCTGGGGCCTCCTGGTAAGTGCAGACCAAGGTCAACTACCATCTGTATCCTATCAGGGGACACTAGACATGAGCTACAGAGTGATCTGCAGATGGCTGCTACTTGTTCTGGGCTTATAGGTGCCTGGGAGAGGCCAATCTGTGAACTTAGGCTGACTGTGCTAATGCCAGGCCTTGGTCCACTTAGCAAGAGGTATGGGAGTATGCAGAGGTCAGATGCTGCTGGTTTAAAAGATTTTAGTTAAGTTGAAAGCAAGAGCCAAGAGAGGCCGTTTGTATGGAAAAGGCTTGAGTGGGCCTGCAAGTTAGGTGGGGTGGGTCTCAGGGAATCACCAGGGCATGCAAACAGTGTTAGCCAGGTGGATGGATTCTCATATATGGTGCCTGCTTGACTACTCTGTGGGGAGAAGGCTTAGCAAAGGAAAAATGGCTTCTGCCAGCACTTCTGTCTGGCAGAAAGCTTCCCCTCCAGCCTTCAGCCTGAAGACAGACAATTCACTTCTTCCCTCTATGTCCCTGGTCCCTTTCAAGCGGCTGCCCCAGTGCTGGAGCTTAGATTGAGTGAGTCCAGTTAAGTCTTTGCTGCTTGGGACATTTAAAAAGTAATGCCTGCCCTGGCTAGTTTTTCTCAGTGGTTAGAGCATTGGCCTGTGGACCAATAAGTTGTGGGTTTGATTCTGGCCAAGGGCACATACCTCAGTTGCAAATCGTCCCCAGCCCTGGTTGGGGTCGTGCGGGATGTAGGCACTCGATGTGTCCCTTTCACATCCATGTTTCTCTCTCTCTCTCTCTCTCTCTCTCTCTCTCTCTCTCATCTTCTCTCTCCCTCTCACTTTATCTGAACAAAAATGGGGAAAAAAAGTCCTCAGGCGAGGATTTAAAAAAAAAAAAAGTAATGCCTGGGACTCCAGAGACCTCCATCTCACTCAGCCACCATCCTGGTCGGTTTTTCAGCCATAGTTATGGGGTTTCTCTTTCCAGCACTAGAACTTTGGACGGGGTTTCTGGTGTGGGGCTAGGACCCTCGGCTCCTCAGGGGGGAACCTCCACAGCCTAGATATCCCTCCCAATTTTGTATCACCAGATGTGGGTATGGGACCAGCCCTTTCCACATCTCTACCCCTCCAACCAGTCTCAATGTGGCTTCTTCTCCATATCCTTAGTTACAGGACTTCTGTTTACTAGACTTCAGGTGGTTCTGTATAATGCTTGTTCTGTAGTTTAAATTAATTCTGATGTGGTTGTAGGAAATTCTGAGTACTTCATTCACTCATGCTGCCATCTTGACCAGAACTCCTGAAGGCTAGAAAGTCTTGCTTAGGGATTCACAACTTGCTCTTGTTCCATGGCATCCCTCCTTCAACATGCTCACTCAGTTCATTCAAGCCCAATAATTACTTTACTACAATAAAAGCAAAATCTTGAGGTGTATAATATATACAGTTTAGATACATTACAAAGGACCTATCATGTTATTCCAGTAGGTTCACCAGATTTAGGGTATAAATTAGTCACTTTTGGTTCTACTTTTTCAGTCTGCTCTGAAACCTTAAACCCCTCAAACTTCATACACACACACACACACACACGATTCAGTTTTATTTCTGTACTTTACCCAAGAAATTTAGTACCTGTCATTTATCTGATTAATACATTCTACATATTGCTCTGAGTGTAAATACTGACCAGATAGTATAGGTTATCCTCAGTCTATTTTTTTCCTTCTCTCTTTACTGTTTTCCTTTCTAAGAACATTAGTGATTGAAATACCCAATTTTTCTTTACACAACTCCTTTTAACATCAGCAGCTCAAGTAGGTGAGTCATAATACAAATCTACCAGGCATATTAACACATAAAGCATTCATTCAACATTCTAATAATATTTTATTTGGGACATTTATTAAAGTAACAAAAATATGCAATTTTAGCAACCCTTACACTAGTCTGTGGTATTCATCAAATGTTAGGGATTTTTTTGAGGGAACTTTTATAAAAAATTGATCTCCAACATATTTCCAACGCAATGTTGTAACAATTCAACTCTGTATATAACCATATAGTGTACAGAAACCAGTCAACCAATAATAAAAACTTACATCAAGAGTTAGCCAGATTTTAAAAAAATCCTTTCACATGAGGTATGTATAAGTAAATATTGCTATATAATGGTAACTTAGAATAAAATATTTCTCATCATAACAACTGAAAAAAGTACATTGTTTTTGCCACACTGGGTCTTTCCCTAAAGATGTTTACAAAATTAGAAATATATCTCTAAAATATAAATTAGAGTCATTAATAGTAAATTTTCATAATTCTTAATAAAGAAAAAGTTCTTTCCAAATCCAAGTGGTAAAGGCAAAAAAAAAAAAAATCTTTTTCATTAAATTCTTACATTCTGGACTAATGCCAAGAGAATGGTTCTGAATTAAGATAATATCTGAGTACTTTAAAACAGAAAACTCAAAATTATTTTGCCCATCCAATGCTGTAGTGATCTGAGATAAATTTTTCTTAGAATACTAAAATTAAATTTAGGATTAGTTACAGACTACATGATAAATATTATTCTACATTCTGAAAAGAATTACCAAGTTCTCTCAAAACACTACAACTCATTATTATAACCTACTGTTGAAGTATAATTCTCCACAGCTTTAATATCATTAAAGTCCACATAAACACATTATTTTCCACAAATATTGCATTAAACAGATATATAATCCTGTTGTACCAAAAATACACCATACACATAAAAGAATAATGGAATTATTTAATTAATTCATTCAAATAAATGTTACTCAATATTTGTGTACTAGGAATATTTACATTCACATAGATTAATTATATTCTTAATTAAATATTTATAGGACTGAAAGAACAACTGATAATCTTCATTGGAATAAAAACCATGGAGAAAAAATACTGGCAATCCTTTTGATGAGGAAAAAAGATAAATTAAGAATAGTAATTGGAAGAGTTGGATTTGGAAAGTCATTTCTGAACTCATTACATTAAAAACTTCAATATTCAATCATTTCCAGAAGTCTGTTTCTTTTGACTATATATTTTTTAAATGAATGAAAAATCATTAAGGAATCAATAACCTTCAGATTTTACACATTTTTGTTTTTTATTCCTCACAACCTTCTAAATGAATTACACAAGATGTAGGAGTGTAGATTAAATGTGATGTGGAAGTCTGATTTCCTGTTATATTTTACAGAATGCATTATATGTCATTAAAGAAAGCACCTGCTATCACTCAAATTTATTTTCTCTGCTGCCCAGTCTTGATTTTTTTCAATAAAAGGTTCATGTAGAAGATAGTACACATAATTTCCAGTAAATATACAACTACAAAACATAATTAATTCAAGAAATAGAAAGTGACATTATATTAAAATACATGCTGATAAAGAATGAAATTGACTCAAGAAAAAACATTAAAAATGGAAACCTTTAAAATTATTCAAAAATATTGTGCTGTATACAACTTTCTTATATAAACATTAGAAATATATTTAATATATTCAAATATAGTTATTACAAATTATCATTATATATTGTTATTATAAATTATTTTATATTTGTGCCCTGGCCAATTTGGCTCAGCGGTTAGAGCATCGGCCCACAGACCAGAGAGTTCTGGGTTCAGTTCCCACTAAGAGCACATACCTTGGTTCCAGTTTGTCCCTGGCCCCGGTTGGGGTTGTGTGGGTGGCAACCACTCAATGTGTCTCTCTTCCATTAATGTTTCTCTCTCTCCTCCTCCTCCCTCCCTACCTCCCACTCTATCTGAAGATAAATGCAAAAATGTCCTCAGGTGAGGATTAAAAAAATAAATTATTATTTTATATTTGTAATTACACTTACAAATAATTAAAAAGTATTTAAAAAGAGCTTCCAATTGATGTAAATAAATTAAATCTCACCTTTCCAAGCAAAGAAATTGCTAATCATCTTCCCTGCTTAGTAGCTACTGCCATATTGCCAAGATATCATCAACCATTAGCCCTAACCCTTGAAAATTAATCATTAATCATAACATTATCCTTTCTTCTAAAATCTCTTATATTTCCAAAAAGTAACTGTTCCATAAGTTCATCTTAAAGTATTCCATGTGCTTCACTATCTGTAACAAAAATTATTAGAAATGAAAAATTTTCTCAACTTTAAATCAATTCTCAATTACAACTCTTTTTAAAAAGTCACACTAACCATAAGCTTTTAAATTGTAATTAATACTAAAAGCCAAATACTCACAAAGAAGGATCTTGTACAAGATCTTTGAGATTTATCCCACTGCGATCTTCTGCAAGATTCCTGAAGCAACTATCACTCACTGAACAAGAAAAAGGGGGAAAGAAAAAGAAAATTAATTTTTGTTTACATTTCATTTAAATTACTGCTGATCAACAAGAATTCTGAAATTAAAATTGGCTCTCAAGATACATTTCCAAACAATAATATTGATCAATTTCTGGCCCTGGTACATTTAGCAACAAATATTAATATTCAATAACAAACCAATAATCTAAGCACAGAGACTTTATAAAAGTACAATATATAAAAAAATTTTGAATCAGAATTTTGTTATTTTTACAAAATTAATTTACTAGCACATAGTAGTCACTGTTTCCACAATAACTAGAAATAATGATAAATTATCCCCCCAAATCATCTTTTTAAATATACTGGAGAGCACTTGAAATAAGCTGAGCCTCCTGATTGCATTCATTTCTGGGAGATTTGCCATTTAGACACAAGCTAAGAATCAGAAAGAGTAACACTACCAAGGAAAAGAGAAACCAGCATAGCTCTTTATGATTCATGTGCTGGAATGACAGACTGGAATCTGATGGAATCCCTAAAACACAGTTTTCTCCTGAGAGATCTGCTAAGGACTGGGACTGCATGAGTAGATGGGAAAGAAGCAGAGATGGAGCCAGAGGGGAAAAATTGTTTTCTGCAGTGTTATACTGATTAGGAGTCAAAGTCACACTACAACAGGTGATGCCTACCACTTTTAGTATTGAATTTCAACAGGTCCCCCCCTCAAAGTATTTGCTGTCAATCACAAGCACCCCACCTTGAGAGGGAGGATTAAAAATAGAAGGCAAAACCCAAAACATGGAGCAAAAACACTAATTTCACAGTTCATTAAATACAAAGTCTCATCAAAGAGAAATACCTGCAACAGGTCTTGCTCTTAAGACATTTAAAACCAGAGGTAGACTAGGTATATATACAGCTGTCTCTCAAATCACCCAGTTCAAGTCATGGTTGACTTGAGGTGATTAGCACTTTATCATTTCTCTCTAATATAGGAGAGACAACAACATTTACATCACTCTATTATCCTATAATAAACAGTATTTAGTTTACAATAATAATTATGAAGCATGGAAAAGGCCACAAAATGTGACCAATAATCAAAAGAAAAAATAACACCTATACGCTGACCAACAGATGATACAGATTTAGAAGACAAAGACTTTAAGAAAACTATTTAACAAAAGTTAAAGAAGGTATAGAAAATACAAGGGCAGGGCAGAAGAGTGAGTTGCTTTTTGTTGGATTTAGGAAGGGGATCGTATTTGAAGTAACATAGATACTGGGGAGTTAGCTTTGAGAAATTTTGGTTTGTTGATTCTTCAGGAGACAGTCCTGCCAATGCACGGGCGGAGGGGGGAGGGTGCTTAGTGCTTACCATATTTTCTTTAGCCTGTAAAATATGCTTGGGAGTAAAGAGAAAAAGGAGTTTCACCAAAAGGGATTGCAAAGAATTCAAAAGAGAAATATTTGTTTGCAGGGGAAAAGGAGAAGGGAAGTTTCTATTCATTAGAAGCTCTTTGGTGTGAATTACCTTTGAGATGCTAAAAATGGCTGAGGAGACACTCCTTATCTATTTTACTATTTGGGTAGAAAGGCAGTTTGAAGACCAGCAATCTCTGTGTTTCGTTACCAGGTGCTTCTCATAAGTTGTGGGGGAAAAAAAGAGCCCTGGCTGGTTTGGCTCAACGATTGGAGCGTCAGCCTGCGGACCAGAGAGTCCTGGGTTCGATACCTGCTAGGCACATACCACAAAAAAGGAAGGAAGGAAGGAAGGAAGGAAGGAAGGAAGGAAGGAAGGAAGGAAGGAAGGAAGGAAGGAAGGAAGGAAGGAAGGCCCGTTTTCTGTCCTTACAACTCCCCACTCTAGGCACTGGAATTGTCTTTCTTAATAACAGACTCAAAACTAGAGAGCCTGGGTGAAGGTCATTCTTCTATAACTTCTTCAAGTTTAGTTAGGACATATAGCTGTCGCTGCCTTTGAATCCTGACAAGAATCAACCAAGAGGAAGGGTCTGGTAATAGACATTTTTAAAGGCTAGCACTGGGGCAAGAAGGTGGCTATGTTGTAAGGAGTGGATTACTTTAAATCTATGAAAAAGAATCAAACAGTCATTTTAGAACTGAAAAATGCAATATGGGAAACTGAGAAATCAGTGGGTGAGTTTTACAGTTGACTCAACACAGCAAAACAAAAGTTAGTGAAGTTGAAGAAATAAGCAGAAAATATCTAACAAACCAAAGAGAGAAAAAAAACAAACGAGAAGAACAATACATATAACACATGTGGGAATCAAACAGTCCAATGTAATTGCAATTGAGGAGAGAGAGAATGAGGATGAAGCAATCTTTTTAGAAAATAAAAACAAATAAAACAGCTAAGAATATACCAAAACTGATACAATACATTAACACCTTGACTCAGGAGGTATAGCCAACCCAACAATGGAAAAAAAAAAAAGTAAGAAAATCACATTCAGTAGTCAAATGGCTGAAAATCAAATACCAAAAAAAATCTTAAATACAGCCAGGGGAGAAAAAAGACAGATTACAGCTGAGTATTCAACATAAACCATGGAAACCATAAAGCACTGGAATAATATGTATAAATGCCAGGGGAGGGGAGGGAATCTGTCAATCTAAAAGTTTATACCTGGGAGAGAAAGAAATGGCAGCGGAGTGAATGGAAGCTACACAGACCATCTCCCAGGACCAAACTGGAATTACAAACAAAATAAAGACAAATCGTCAGGAAGGGGCAACCGAAAGGCAGGTTGGAGGACCACATAACCAGGGACACTGACTCAATCCTGGTTGGCTTGCGAGGACGCGAGAGGGGTCGGTAGCCCACAGTCCGCAGTGGCCTTGACTGGGACCAGAGGCCTCGGCTGGGACCAGCAGCTGCCTCGGCTGGGTCCTGCAACCTCGGCTGGGTGGGTGCTACACCCTCAGCTGGTGCCACAGCCTCGGCCGCCCTAAGCTGGGAGCAGTGCCCTTGGGTTAAAGTCCCAGGCGGCTTCATGACGCAAAGCCCGGACAAAGGCTAAATTGGCCGCAGCCACTCACCTTGGGCTCCGGCAGAGGGAGGACAGACTGGACTAAACTGTGTGGGGACACTCGGAATCTGGAGGGTGCTCAGAGCTTGTGCTGAGTGCAGTCATGCAGGACTGTGGTCATCTTACTCCTTCCCAGGGCCCTGGGGAGAGGCGGCAGCCCCTCTCTCAGGCAGCCCCTCTCTCAGAGATTCAACCCCCCCCCCTCCATAGCCATTGAAATACTAATTGAGGCCCATTAACAACCAGCATCTGCCCCACCCTTGGGAAAACCTCTTACACTGAGCACCTGAGGGAGTTTTTCAGTCAACTCAGAAACCAAGGTTCTTCAGGTGACCACTACTAATAGCCTCCAGGCAAAAAAGCTAGAGGATAACTACCATTCCCTGGGCTAGCAACGCTAAGCAGGAAAGTTAAGACTTGACAGTGGTGTTTAAAGCTGGTCCACCCTGCCTCATCCAAACACAGGGGAGGGAGCCACAAACAACAGAACACCAACACCCACAGGGAAAATTTGGCAGACTCCAAAGCTCACTGTGATAGCCAAAATGGTGGAAAAACAGAAACAAAAGCCAAATGAAAGAACAAGAGACCTCTACTGAAGATGAGATAAATGAGGTGGAGTTAAGCAAGTTAACAGAACTAGAATTCAGAGCCATGATCTTGAGGAAATTCAACAGCATGTGTAAGGACATGAGCACCATGAGTAAAGACATAGAAATGTTGAAAATCAACCAGTTGGAAATGAAAAGCCACCAAGAAGAAATGAAGAATGACATATCAGAAATGAAAAACACATTAAAAGGTCTAAAAAGCAGAGTAGAGGAAGCTGAGGACCGGATCAGTGAATTAGAAGACAGAGTAGAAAAAATCAACCAATCAGAAAACCAAAAAGTAAAAAACGATTAAAAAACAGGAACACAACGTAGGAGAACTGTGGGACAACTGGAAACGTAATAATATTCGCATCATAGGAGCCCTGAAGAAGAAGAAAATGAGCGAGGGTTAGAGAATATTTTCAAAGAAATAGTGACAGAAAACTTCCCTAATTTGAAGAAGGAAGAAGACATTCAAGTTCAAGAAGCACAGAGAGCCCCAAGTAAGAAGAACCCAAACAGGCCCACACCACGACACATAGTAATCAAACTGCCAAAAATTAAAGTCAAAGAGAATCCTAAAAGCAGCAAGAGAGAAGCAACACGTTACCTACAAAGGAAACCCCATTAGGCTTTCAGCTGACTTCTCACAAAAAAACACTACAGGCTAGAAGGGAATGGCATGAAGTAATCAAGGTCATAAAAAACAAGGATCTGAATCCAAGACTACTCTATCCAGCAAGGCTGTCATTCAAATTAGAAGGTCAAATAAAGAGCTTCCCAGACAAAAAAAAAGCTAAGGGAATACATTAGCACCAAACCAGCACTGCAAGAAATGTTAAAAGGATTGCTGTAATTAGCAGGAGAAATGTGAAGAAAAATAGAACCACGCTAAACAAAAATGGCAATAAATAAGTACATATCAATAATCACCTTAAATGTAAATGGATTGAATGCTCCCATAAAAAGACACAAAGTAGCTGATTGGATGAGAAAGCATGACTCATCTATATGTTCTTTACAAGAGACCCACCTCACAACAAAAGACTCACATAGATTGAAACTGAAGGGATGGAAAAAACGCTTCCAGGCAAATGGAAAGGAAAAAAAAGCTGGGTTAGCAATACTCATATCTGATAAAATAGATTTCAAAATGAAGGCCATAACTAGAGACAAAGAAGGCCACTAGATAATATTGAAAGGATCTATCCAACAGGAAGATATAACCTTGATAATCATATATGCACCCAATATAGGAGCACCAAAATATATTAAAAATCTTCTGAAGGACTTCAAAGGAGAAATCGATAACAATACAATCATAGCAGGGGACTTCAACACCCCGCTGACATCACTGGATA